GACACCAACCCGTCCTGCACCGCGGGAGAGAGAACTCACCAGATGGGCCCGTAGAAGGTTAGGATACGCCAGATCTCCCACTCTGCTGTAACCCAGCACCAGATGCCCGCGTTGCCGTAGACTCTGTGACCATTCCCGTCCCTAACAAAAATGTAGGTCAAGGCCGGAACTAGGGGGATCCCATAACAGCAGAGAAAGTACAGGATCTCCATCTTGCGTAAGCGTTCGGCGTCAAACTTGTAGTAAAACGTCAGGTATACATTAATGGCCATGGACAGGATCCAGAGCACATCTGCACCCATGAACCTAGAAGGAACGAGACGCGTAAAGAGTGAGCAACGAGGGCGAATGTGAGGGGTGAAGAGCTGGGGAAGGGGTTCATAGAAGAAAAACGGACATTTGAATTAGAAAAGCCTGAAACTGACAGCCAAACGAGTCCGGGGCGTGGATGTAGGAGCGGGCCATCATCGTGGCAACATTAGTGATAGCATTTCCGATGGATGCATAGAAGACAAGACGATTGATTGGCTTGCGGAAGGCCTTGGACGAGGTAAATGTCACAATGATGAAAACACAACCCAGGAGGGAGAAGATGGAGCACGTGCGTTCAATGATGCTCAGCGCGTCAGCATCATCTTCCGCCAAACTCCGCTGCATGGCCATTTCGATCGCCATTTTGGTAGCAGCCGGCAGCTAAAAAAAAAAACAAAAAAAAAAAAAACGGTTGGCTTTCGCTTTGGTACCTCAACCGGGTTGGGGATAGAGCGCCGAGGTAGGGACACCGGTATGATGTCGGATGGCCGAGCAATCTTTGCAGATAGGGGGAAGTCGAAGTCGCCTGGGGGTCAGAAATGTCCTCGGAAGCACCGAGGATACTATGCACAAGAGACCGAGTAAGCTCTGTTCGTCCCCTGGACCGTGATTGCGAATGCTGCGATGCCGACGGTAAGTACGTTGAGTTGACGGACGGATTACGGCGTGGTGAAGTGGTTGCCGAGTAGGAGGTGCGTGATGACAACAAAGTTATGTGTCGAAAGGCGCTGGAATGATAGCGGAAGACACAAAGAAGTTGAAGCCGTCAAGCAAGGTCGACATGGAGGCCAAGGTCTCGGTAATTAGACGCAGGGCTGACCGGTTGAGAAAAAAAAGGGGGTGACACAAAACAACATGAAGATGAAAGAAAATAAAGAAAAGCGAGAGGGAAGTGAGAAGTAGTTGAGCCAAGAGAGAGGCCCTTTCTTCCTAATGCTCTTCAACCCCAAGATACAAGTTGGGAGGCAGGAACCGTGATAGATAGCCTGGCCATCGAAGGAGTTCAGGTTCAAAGATCAGAAAAGAATGCAAACTCTTGTAAGAGGGGGTGCGTTTGCAGGTACTCGAATATATCAATGAAATGCTAGTACAAAGTAGGTATTAATTAGTACATATGGTAGGTAGGTGATGCGTACAAAGTAGTTCCTAGCTGCGCTCGAACCCTCGACCATCGCATGGCGTCTAGTGGATGAACAGGGTCCCAGGAGCTTGGAAAGGGGGTGGGCTCGAGGACAAGAAGGACGTGCGCTCAGGTCCGTGGTGCGTGCTAACCAGGTCCTTCGAAGAGGCCGGGACAAGGGGCCCTGCCCCGTGCGGGCAACGCTCGACATCCTTCGTGCTTGAAAGTTCAGACCCTGCGTACTTTTACAGTACGGCCTAATAATGCCCCGGCCTTCTGGGATGAAGCCGACAGAAGGGGGCGGCAAAGAAAACTAGCAGCATAACTCGGCACCGTACGGCTAGTCGCTGCTTTTTGTATGAAGCTGCTGTTTCCCCTGCTCTCTCAGGAGGATGATTCCCAAGAGTCTGCAAGGGCCGGAGAAACAAGTGAGTGCCATACGGCGTCGGTCGTAGGTACGAAGTATGTCTGTACAACGTACCGTACCGTTGTACTACTCGCCTCTTGGAAGACGAGAATACGAGATATGTAGACAGACCCCTCCATAACAATGCGGATAGCTAGTTTCTTCAACCACGTGGATAAAGCCACAGCGACGCGAGCGGTTGCCCCTAGTCGGGGAGAGTTGTGATCTGGGGAAGACTCGTAAGCCAGAGGTTAGACGAGTCATCGTTCCCTGCCTTAGGGGTGGAGCTAGCTGGGGGAGAGGGGGGGGGGGATCCATGCTAGCATCAGATACCTAGTACGTTGTAATTATGTATGTGATTGTCAAGAATCTCAAGATTCGCATGAGGTGGCCGAGCAGGGTTCGTGGGGCGGCCATGGCGTATACCGTGTTTGCAGGTTTGTAGACGTGTTTGACGGCGGCTGTTGTTCTGGTTCTTTCGTTGTCTGTCTCCATTTTGCCAATACCGGCGGACTTTTATCCACTTCCATCTTCTAGAGTCAACACACGTACGTTGTACATAGGTATGCTGCGTGGGCGTCAGGCGCACGGAGGACTCCGGACAGAGAACGTGCCAAGACTCAGCGCGAGCCCACAATGGTTGTACGGAGTATGTATCCGTACGTACATTCTCATTGTCCTCCATGAAACCTGTCAGACACCTAGGTACTGTACGTACTTCCTCCTTCGTAAGGTACCTTAACACGTTGTATGAAACGAATGTCCGGTCCAAGCCATGTGCGGCGTACGGATCCGTACTCCGTGGACTCGGCGTTGCTGAATTCCCATGACCGAGTCTTCTCAAGTGCAGCCACAGTATCCATTGGTTACTCCATAGCCAGAGCCATGGTGACGAACCATTTGGTTCTATCCGTACTCTCGAACGGATAGGTATGCTTCGCTCGCGTGGCGAATGTGGTGGTTCGCAAGGATGGACCCAGCTTGTGTGGTGTGTCCGCCTACGTCGTACATAATAAGGTACCACGTACGCATGGCGTGGCCCAAAGATCCAAAGATGAGTCCGTGCGCATGTGCACGGGCGATCAAATTCGTCTCATGTTTTCAACCTGCCAATGTAAGCAAGCGGAAGTGTCTGCATTACTGGACCCAGGAGCAAGGTATCTTGCCAATTCGACGCCTCAAGGAACCGGTACGATACTATTTCCAGTAGTCTGGGGGAGTTCAATACGACGTACGCTGTACAGTGGGAATCGCAAATCTGCATAAGGTGCCACAGGTACCACTAACGACTTGGCGCCCCATATTCCCCATACTTATGTAAGACCAGCCAATAAACTCACTTTATATATGAGTGTACCTTAATCTTGCAACCCTCTCCCTTACGTGATTACTTTATACGAAGTACTTCGAAGAAAAAGGACTTTTGGAATATAGGTCATTTGTCATCGAGGTCAAAAACTCGAAGTGCCTGCCGAGATATAAAGGCGACGTTTATTTTCGGCATTGTCGGGGAAGTGGGACCAAAGCGGTAGAACCCCAGATGCGAATGTGCCACAATCTTTATTAGTGTGGTATGGTAGGTACACAAAGCGACGGAGTATTTGAACTTCCCGTCAACTACGCGTATTAGCTAAAGTCAGAAATAGGATGCATGTGTTGTAGATCGGAGCTCTCTTACCTACCTAAGGTAGGTACCGTATGTTAACCAGGTAATTATATTTACTCGTACCTTACCTTTTCTTGGGTCTGTCTCCGTACTCCGTACTCCGTACGGAGTAGTTCATCCGTTGTAATGGGGATTGCCTTCCTTACCTAGTAAGGTAGGTACCTTGGCCAAACCCCACAAATATTTACCAAGGTAGGTACCTAGATACTCCGCAGGTGCCATGGTGGCTCAGTGCCTGGTGACATTTTGTATTTTCTTGGATGACATGCATCCCGATTTCTTCATTTTCGTCATTTTTCTTTCTTTTTTCTTTTCCTATCCTCTTTTAAGGGAACGACGAGGCTCAAGCGCAAATTCCACCCCCAATCCATTTCTCCACTGGAAAAAGAGAAACAAAAGAAGAAGGGAAAAGGACAAAAAAAGAGAGAGAACGAGCTGATTGAGATGGGTGTAACCCCAGTCCCATGGGGAATCGATCACCATACCCTTGAAACAACGTAAGAACTAGCCCGAGACGGGACACCGCACCATGAATCCTGGGGTAGACCCATGATACCGGAGTGACACTTCTCCGTTGATAGATATGAAGTAACAATCCCCAATAATGCGTAGCTGCTATGTCTTCTGTTTCTTTCTTTCCTTCTTTCTTTCCTTCTTTCTTTCCTTCTTTCTTTCCTTCTTTCTTTCCTTCTTTCTTTCCTTCTTTCTTTATTAATTTTTATATATATCCAAAGTTATGGAATATTCTGCTCGGCGACGTGTCCAGAAGTATAGAGTGTCTACGGCGGAAGCATGGATACACATAGGTAGGCAGCTAAAATGTGTTCTGAATGGTTTCACTTCGCGACCACTTCAACGACTGAAAGGGTCCGCGAGCCGAGTAATTACGTACTGTGCTATCTCGCGGGACGACAACAAAAGCCAAACCAACCAGTAATTTATTTGTCGTACTCGATGTTGAATGTGGAGAGCACCTACCTACATAAACGTGTACAAATGCACCTCTGTGTGTGAATATATCGAGGGAAGGCGTCAGGTTTTGGCTTCAACAGTGCTTGGGTGAAAAAGATGGATCATGGATGGCCATCGTTTTTTGTCGACCATTGATCCCGAGTGAGCTTTTACGGCATTCTTGAGATACGGACTCTGAGAATGCCGTTCTCTACTCCCCTACATTGGTCACTATTTGTTCAGCCATGATCCCCTCTTCACGTCTTTTGTGAAGGCTCGGTCTGTACAAGGGGTGAAGAGACACACCGCGTCCAGTGCGCCCAACGTCTCGGCAATGCTGCTGTCAACCCCCCAAATTCTCAACCATAAATAGCCCCCCTACCCCGATAGTTGCCAGACCCCCCGGGCCACCGAAACCCCAGCCTGTTACGTCGGAGCGAAAGAGAGACGAGCAAGCGTCATGTTCTAGGTCCGCGTCGACATCGGAGAATGGGACGGGCTCAGAGAACCCCGGTGGCACTCTTTTGACACCGACACCGACATCGATAACGACAACGACAACGACATCGACTACGACGTTCCCATGCCGAGCCCTCCACCTTCACCCCCTATATTCGGGCAATATAAACACGACATCGACTTGATCCCTTACGGACAAGACACATCTCCCAGTGGAAGAGGTGAAGCCTGGCAGCAGAGTCACTGCTGGAACCCAGGGGCTCAAACAGGCTATACAAATCGCCACATGTTCCACATAGAGTTCGTGTGTCGCTGCCCGAGAGGCCAGAACTAGTATCCATAAAGTGATAGGTTTCGGCCCCCTAAGACACCCCCGGTAGTATATCCCCCCCAGAACACAAACTTGGGGAAATAGGCCCGATCTTCGCCTTGGTATGCTGCTGCACCTTCAATCCAGGAATATGTTTCTTGACACTTAATACATCGCCATCTGTCGACGTTACAGGAACAAAGTCGCTTCGTCGCGCCGAATAGACTTGGTATTTCTGGAGAAAGTGACTACTCAGAGGGCGTGCTCGAAGGTCGCGGGACACACTTCGCGGGTGCCTCGGACTCAAACTTCCACCAGTTGAAAGAGAACAGCACGTTCCCCTTATCTTCGGGTCTTTCAGGCCACATGGGCACAAGATCCTCCTCCGTCGGGTAGAAAGCAAAGAACAGATCATGGACGCCCTGAGCCCCCTCCGGGTCGATTTCGCAGGTCACCGTCTCCCAATTCTGCCACCCTCCCGTGCTGGGGACCTCACACTCACCAACCCTGCGGCCTCGCTCCCAGTTATCCAGCCTCACCTGGATCGAGCCTCCATTGCCGCCCGAGGCAATCCTCACGTCGAGCGAACACGCGCCCTCCTCGCCAAAGTCAACGCCACCGACCTTGATGAAGTCACGCTGGCGGATGCGGTTCACATTCATACCGCCTCCCTCGTCCTCGCAGACCTCGGTGCTGACCCCGCGGGAGAAGGCGATGAGTTCGGCCTCTTGACGAACGTACGGGTTGACGTGCTTGAGCTGGGATGGGCCGTCTTCGGTCATGATGAGCTTGGGAATCGTGCCGTCGAGGTTGTACATGAACTGCTCCACGGCGACGGAGCGCCAATAGCCGCCGCCGCGCGGGAGGGCACCGTTGTGGTAGAAGAAGTAGTTGTTGCCCTGGAACTCGACGTAGCCGGGGTGGTTGGTGAAGGCGCGGGACTGCGGGGGCATCACGACACCGCGATAGGTCCAGGGGCCTCTGGGGGTAGGCGCCGTAGAGTATCGGATATCCTCGTCGCAGCAGTTGGCGGCATAGAGGATGTAGTACAACTCGTCTCGCTTGTACACCCAGGGCCCTTCTTCGTAGCTGCTGGGTCGATCCGAATCATAGTCGCGGCGAGGGCCGAATGTGGCGGTCGTCAGGTTGACCTCGACAGGGTCGTTCTTGAGGGAAATCATGTCGTCATTGAGCTCGGCGTACCAGAGGCCGGGATTGCCCCAGTAGATGTACGCCTGACCGTCGTCGTCGATGAAAGTATGCGGGTCGATCTCGTTATTGGCGACCAGTGGCTCTCCGATGGCGTCTCGGTAAGGCCCAGTGATGTTTTCTGCCACGGCAACGCCGATGCCGCGCTCACCACCGATCTGCGACATGGGCACGTACCAGAAGAACTGGCCGTCGCGCTCGACGACCTGTCCCGCCCAGGCGTCGGACTGAACCCAGTCAAAGGCGTCAAGGCCGAGAGGAGAGCCATGGTCCAGCCAGTTCATCATGTCGTCTGTCGAGTACAGGCGCCAGTCGCGCATGTCGAAGAAGTCCCTGGCGGTTTCCTCGTCGTGACTGGTGAAGACGTAGACGCGGCCATTGTGGACGATGGGGGCAGGGTCTGCCGTGTACCGAGTCTGAACAATGGGGTTGTCTGCATGGACGACATGGAGGAGGCCGATGAGCGCCGCAGCGGCGCCCCAGCTCATAGAAGCCACCATGACCAATTGGCCGGAAGGAGCTGGCTGTGAGAGAGGTTCAGGAGCTGCCAGAGGCGACGTGCTTCGCTTCCACAGATGGGGGAGAAAGGCTGGAGCAGAAAGCAAGGAAATTGGGCCTTGATCGGCCGGGGCCTTGGTTAAGTACCACCAGACGGTAGCCATGGATGATCCTCTACGCTGTAACTGTACATCTTGACGGAAGGGGTATTGTCGTCGGGAACCGGACGACTCTCGCCGCCGGTCGTCGCTGACGTATCGCACTCAGGTCCCGCGTGTAAGTGCCTTGTCCCGCCTTGGAAGAGAGATTGACTTCATAGCGTCAACGGTGGTGCCGGTGCCGGCTAATTGTCGCGGGGCCGCCCGCCGCCCTGCCGCCGCCCTACAACGTACGTGAATGCTGTGAATGCTGTGAATGCCGAACTGGGCTTGCATCGTGAGTGGGCACGTCTAGGCTCCATGACAAGCCGGGCTTAGATGATCCCTTACTAAGGCTATATTGCGCACTTTGCGCACCAATAGTAAGGGCACACCGGTCAGGCTAGCTCCGGGTTTCTGGATCGTGAGGTTGGGAAGCGGAGACGGGTTGTGGTTCTCCAAGTGCGGAGACTGTATGCAAGTCTTTAACCCCCAGAGGTGCGGGGGAAACAAGGATCTTGGGCCGGTGAATGCGCTCATTTCGGAGTCCGTGGTTGTACACGTAGTGTATGTACATACGTTCCTTTTATCCACATGGGGATACAACGTATTAATGTCACCTCATCTTTCCTTCCGGTCTTTTGGGGTTGAGGAGTTGGACCTGTCGCATGCATTCGTCAATAGCCGATTGCTACAGCGTAGAGGAGGGGTTGGTGCCGAGACCGCCGATCGAAACATTGGGGAAATTAAGCATATGATGCCCACTAAATTGTTACGCGTCGTCACGTGATCCGATGGGGCCATATGGGGCCCTAGGCCCACAGAGCTTATGGTGGATTTCTGGGCGAGTTTACCGGGCAATATCCAATGACTCGGCACTTGAATCATTCAGGCATATTCAAACTTTTCGTTTTGTGCAGATGAGCCAATGTCCGAAGCCTTGCCTGCTCTGACTTATATCCTCTCTTCCGCAGCGGACTGGGGAATAAGCTTGACGCTCGAACTGCACAGGCATCAACAACTGGTTGGCGGGAGGTTATCGAAGAGCCACGCCAATTCCCTGCTGTTGGGTTCCATTGAATCAACTCGCTGTGCTACAAAATTGCCCTCCCTCTCTCCCATTAACTCAGTCAACGTTGCGGGAGTGATCGCATTTCCAACGTCATTTTGTCAATTCCTTTTGATTTGGCCAAACCTAGAATAGACTAGTTGGGACCATCCGAATCCTGACAACGCCTGCCTTGACCGACCCAAAGACCAAAAAGACGAAACACACACACAAAAAAAAAAAAAGAGCCAAAGAAAGGACTGAGGAATGAGAAAAAGCCTGAACATCGTGGGAATCTTGTGACATGTACAGATGCATCAACCCAGTCCACCACTTCACCCCGCGCTCAACGCCTGGTGCGTTTACCCTACTTATTTTCCGTAGCGGTTGTATTCGGCGGCAACAAGGCAGTGGTCCCGTTCAAAGGGCTCTGTGTACGACGTCGTCTCAGTCAGTCACCTGCTACCGACACGAATGGGCTCATGGTAGTTCATATGGGAAAGGAAGGCCTTACCTAGCGTAAGCTGCTCTTTGGGAGAGATACGTTCCGCACGCATCTTCTCGACTTCACTCGCGAAAACCTTGGCAGCAGGGGCCGTGCTATCGATACAGTTGGCCTTGATGGAGATGAGGATACCGCCGCCGACTTTGAGGAAATAATGGGCGTTCATAGCGACGATACGCGCCTGGTCGGGCTGGGCAACGTCGGCGAAGATGGCGTCCACCATGGGCATGATCATGCGGTACTTGAGGGGCTGCCTGGCATCCTCGACAATGGGGACGACATTGGTGCGCTTGGAGGCCATGGCGATCAAGTCGCGGCCGGATCGCGGGGAGAACTCGACGGCGTAGACAAAGCCGGTCGGTCCAACAATGTCGGCTACGTGGGAGACGGAAGTGCCGGAAGCACCGCCCAGATAGAGCACCTTGGAGCCCGGTCCGAAATAGAGCTTGTCCAGACCGCCAATCACGCCAGCTGCCAGCTTCGAACGGAAAGGATTCCATACGCGATACTCAATCTTGGTGTTGGTCGTGGTGCCGTCCTCATTCTGGACGACGTTGTCGACGGAAACACGCTTCTCGCCGTAAACGGACTCGCCGGGTGTCAGGTTGCGGGTTGCGATGGCGTCCTCCTTGCCGCGAACCACGAAGATGCCCTCGTGACGGTGAGGTTCCTAGAAGTATGGTTAGTCTCCCCTGTAGCCGGGTAGGTCGAGAAGAAAAGGATCCTCTACTTACCACGACAACCCTCTGGCCACCCCTTTGTCCAGGAGCGCCGCCGCGTCCGCCTCTACCACCACCACCCCTGCCTACACCGCCGCGGCCGCGAACACCTTGTGAATTCCACCTCCGTCAGCATGTCGGGACAACAGGCGAGCTGCGAGCTCAGCATAAAGATCCAGGCAAGTCTCACCTCCTCGGGGTGCACCTCTACCTCCACCACGACCACCTCGATCGCCGAAGCCTCCACGGCCACCGCCGCGACCACCACGGTCGCCGAAGCCTCCACGACCGCCGCCGCGACCACCACGGTCACCGAAGCCGCCTCGGCCACCACCGCCTCTAAAAGGAGCCATGTCGTTCGCGACTTTCTTTTGTTGGGCAACGGAGATAAGATTGTTGAAGTTGGTTTTCGACTTGTGAAGGAAGGATAAAAAAAGTTGGTGCTCCGTTACGACGGATCAGTAAATCAGCTACCAATTCAAGGGAAGTGGTTGGATGAAATTTTTCTTCGAAGTTTTTCTCCAGACCTAATTGGGAGGGTCTGGTCAAAAGCTTGGACCAAGCTGCAATACTGGGTGGGGCCTTCATGTCGTACTGGAATATATATGTTCCGCACGCCGAGCCATGGAACCGGACTCGACTCTCCGCAGTCCTCAGGTACGGACTATGGAGTACCTTTGATATGCGATTTCGATACACAAATAGGGAGCCAAATTTCTACATGAGATGCACATAATCAAGCAATTCCATTGCAAAGATAAAATGACTACGTAGGAAGGCGGAAATGAAATAACTGTACGAGATCCTCGTTTTGACTCTGTGAATGTGATTTGATTTTTTTTTCTACTCTAAATGAGGCACATACGCTGAGGTGGATTGATAGCTGTTTTAAGTAGGGCTGCAGAACCCTACCCATACAAATCCCAGTACCTTCTTGGTAAGCGAGCCAACCAGACAGACTAAGTGGCCCTTGTCAAGTTGCGAATTGCGAATTTCTTCCAACCTGACTTTTGCAGACCACCGTCCACGACCGTCGGATCCATCATCACACCCAGACATCACGATGGTAAGTTATCGTCTTTGCTGTTGTTATTGACTCAGGGTCCTCTATCCTGTCTAGATTCCCGTTTCCCCATCTCGTGGCCAGTTGACTGTCAAACACTCAATACAAACCCCCCCCGCCGGGCTGAGGCCGAATCAATTCAAACCGCGCGTTCGAAAAATGACATACTCGGACAGCTTGGCGATAAAACCCGAAACCGCTGGCTGACATGACCACCTCGTGCAGGTTCGATACGCCGCCACCGAAATCTCGCCCGCGAAGTCGGCTCGCGCCCGCGGTGCCTACCTCCGCACCTCCTTCAAGAACACCCGCGAAACCGCCCAGGCCATCAACGGCTGGAAGCTCGAGCGTGCTCTTGCCTTCCTCGAGAATGTGAAGGAGAAGAAGGAGGCTGTTCCCATGCGCCGCTTCGCTGGCTCCACCGGCCGCACCGCACAAGGTATGACCTTCTCGATTCGACGACGGAAAGGGTTTTTGTTTGGAGGGACACAGCCCCTGGAATGAGGATAGTGAAGGGCTCGAAAATGCGGATCTTTGTCGGGGAAGGAGAGAAAGAAGGGGGGGGGGCGAGAAAGGGGGAACAACGCCTGACATCTCTTTGCCTGGATGTTGGCTCAAAGGCTCTCAACTGTGATGCGTGCTTTTGCTGACAAAGGGATACGTATCAACAGGCAAGCAGTTTGGCGTATCCAAGGCCCGCTGGCCCGTCAAGTCCGCCGACTACCTCCTCGGCCTCCTCAAGAACGCCCAGGCCAACGCCGATGCCAAGGGTCTCGATACCGGCAACCTCGTCGTCAAGCACATCCAGGTCAACCAGGCCCCCAAGCAGCGGAGGCGGACGTACCGCGCCCATGGTCGCGTAAGAAACACCGCCGACATACCTCTCCAATACAACGCTCCGACCCGACCCGCTGACATTTTCTCTCGTCCTAGATTAACCCCTACATGTCCAGCCCGTGCCACATTGAGCTTATCTTGACCGAGGGCGAAGAGGTGGTTCAGAAGTCGGACGCCGTGGCTGGCCGCTATGCCCATCTGAGCTCGAGGCAGCGTGGCGCCCGCGTCCGCAAGGCGCTGACCGCCGCCTAAGGAGGAGGATTTAACGAACCTGGGTTCGCCGGGGGCTGGAAGGATCAACACAAAGCAGGCAGACCGAGCTGGTCGGGGGGATGGGAGTTATGAGTGCGGATGATATACATGCATGCGCTGCGGCTTCTTTCTCTTTTGCTGGTGTACAGGAACGGCTATGGTGATTCATGGCATTAGGGATCGGGCATGCAAGACAAAAATTACTCTCTTATCCGAGAGACGGGTTCTCCAGCATTTCACGAAAAAGATACAAGTGAACTTCAGGCAAGTGAGCTACAAGTCATATGCTCGTGGTCAATCTTTGCTGTTCTCCCTTCGATGTTGAGAGAATTCCGAGTCTGCATCCAACAGTGCTCTGGGAGCCTGGGGCGTCCCGGAAACAACCCAGAGTGATTGGCGGGTATTAGGTCAACTCTACTACCTAGGTAGCTTTCTGGACGAGCTCCCAAGATGGCTTCTCGAAGGAGGAACTAAGATGACGGCATACCTGACCAGTCATGATCAAAGAGTGGCATTGCACAGCCATCACCGTACGGAGTAGTGCGTCTCTGATCCAGTCCTGTCAAGGATCCATTATCCCGATCCGCGTCTTATTCCTCATCCTTATTCGTACGACTTACAGTCCGAATATTGCGACGCCTGATTGCAAGTAGCCGACAGATCACGGACACGGTAGAAGCGGGCGGCTCAATCAGAAAGATATTATATTGGACCCGGGTTAGTTGGTCCGGGTCTTCTTCGTGTCTCGGGGTTCTTAATGGTATTTAGATCGCAAGCCGGTATCCACAATGTCCGTAGTATCCGCCCCGGCCCGGTTTCCACCCCAAAAGGTCAGACGCCATGCAAGTCCCTATGGTCGCATGCTATGAACACCAGTCATAATCATACTCCGTACTCCGTACTCCATAGCCAAACGCATATCCTATGCACCTTTGTGCAAAGCCCATTCCCGCACAATACTCACTCCCTAGGTACGAAGCCGACCTCTCATCGAACGCCGCGGGAGCTATCCCTCCCCGTAGTAGACAAAGGAGCGGGGAGAGAAAGGCGGGCTCTTCGCCCCTACAATATCGCCGCTGAACCGACCCCGACCGGGGTCCATGATGCCGTCAAGTTTCGCCGCTTGGATGACGTGGGCGTCATACCAGTTCGTCCACTTCGTCCCCATCCCAAACGCGTCACAGAGATTATGATGCTCCTGCGGCCGGAGCCAGTTGACGATCTTGGCCGCCAACTTGTCACTGCACTGCTGCACGTAGGGGGCGAGAACCTTGCGCCGTGCGTTGATCTCGAACGGCTCTTCCCACGGCGAGCCGTCCGGCAGCACGCTCCTCGTGTCGATAAAGGGCGCCGCCACGCCGACGTAGCCGCAGGACCTGAACGTCATTCTGTTGAGCTTGTACTCGTGCTGCTGCCGGCGCAGGTTCCCGGGCTGCGGCAAGAAGTCCATGCTGATGTCCGGGTCCGTGGACGGCTGGCTGACGAATTTCGCCCGGCCAGACGAGATGAGGTCCGCCATGTTCGGGCCGGGGGTGAAGTGATCTATGATCCCGTCCCAGGAGAACAGGCTCGGTCTTGTCAACCGCGCGGGTGTAGTAGCGGGCCACGCGGGGGCAGGAAACGAAGAAGCGCCGCCAGCGGCCTCGTTGAGGTGAGAAAGCACGGGATGCTGCTGCTGGTGCAAGTTGTTCCCGAATGTGCCTTGGCCCGGGTTGAACGGGTTCTGCGTCGCGGCTTGGACGGCCTGGAACCAAGCCTGAACGCCGCCGCCCGGATTCTGATTCTGGTGGGTGGGATCTGGTTCAATCAAGGCGGCCAAGGCGGCGTTTACGGCCGGTTGGTTTGCTTGGGCAGCCACGGGTTCAAGTTGCTCCGTCGTCATGGGTCGGCCTGTGAGGGAAACCGACTCCAGTTCGAGCCGCTGAAGAGATTCGAGCGCCATCGTTCGGAGGACTTGCACGAAGACGTGGGGCGTGGCGTAGCAGTTCTTCAGCGATAGGTGGTTGACAAACGGCAGCGACAACAACTGGTCTGGCGACTTGGCTGCGTCGGGATGGACCATCCACGTCGGCATGCAGAGAGGCGCCGGAAGGACGTATCGGTTGCGCTGGTAGAGGCCCGGTGCAAACTCGCCGCCGCAAAGCCATTCGAAATGAAGGGAGGTGATGTTCCTTTGCCGGCCAACGAACTCCTGAAGCAAGGTAAATACGTGGGATACGGAATCCACGGGGGACACGCTGATGTCCTGCAGGCAACCAGGTGCGATCTTGGCCACGTTGCGCCAGTCCGGAACAACTGCGAAAGAGACAACATTCAGACTCGGGAGACTCTGCCAAAAGTCATTCCGCTGGAACATGAAGACGTGACTGCTGGGGATTTTCGCAACGGTCAGAGTTGTCAGTGACTGAAACAGGGAGGCACGCGAGTTGTCTATGACGGCAATAATGTAGGACTGGATCAGAGCACGGTGTACCCATTCTAGCTCGAGGAGCAACTCCTGTTGCGCTCGAGTCAGCCACCGCGGTTGCAGAGGGTGACTGGTACTGGTACCGGTACCGGTACCGGTATGGGTTCCGGTACCCGGAGTTTCCGGGAAGCTGGTCGGGTCGCTCCGTTGCGTGGTGGTGTCGCCGTCGGACTCGTGGTTAGTGACGCCCTCCGCGAAGCCGTCCGGGGTTTCGATGGAAGGGGCAGAGATAGTCCTTTCGTCGACGTCAATGCCCATCAAGGATGTACGTTCGGTCCAGAGGAGAACGTTGACAGCATCCCGGACCTGCGGCTCGGCGTATCCGGCGCTCCTGACCATGGACGCCAGGACATTGTACTTGAAGTCGTGTGGATTCTCGAAGGCCGGCTTCGTTGCGGGCTTGGCAGCAAGTCCCATGCGTTCCTGGCGTCGTTGCCGGGCCTGGTATGGTTTATTGCGAAGACCGAAGACGGGGTGTGGCTTGGGCGGACAGTCGGGATTTCGATCCGGGCCGCAGAGATAGCCCAGGCCGGCGTCGCAGCAGAGGGCGAGTTCGCGAACTTGGCTCAGACATTGCAGAGCATCCTTCAAGCTAGCGGTCTCATCTGCGGCCTGCTCTAACCCCTCGAGCTCGGTGTAGCGCATGTACGAGTCGTGCGGCCAACGGTAGATGCCCCAGTAGGTTGGGATGGCCTTTTGCGTGGGTTTGGTGGGCGGGTAGGCAAGAGTGTCTTCGTCCAGCTCGAGGGAGAGCGCGAAGCGCACGATATGTTGGCCGAAGGACTGGAAAATGCGCATCCCGTCGGAGAGCAAAGTGCCAGGCCGCGAGAGGCCTTGACTTTGGTGGTCCCAGGACGCTCTGTCCGCCGCGAGTCGATGCGCGGATGTGTACATCTCAGCTTTGAATGGCACGACGACGCTGCGGAAGTATTTCGCCGAGACATTTTCTTCGAATTCCTTGTTCACGAGGCGAAGGTTCTTGACGTCCAATCGTGACAAGTAGCTGCTGATGTGGTCGAAGATCTCGATGGGGATTGTGCCGGAGGGCCAAGAAGATGAGAGGGGTGGTGTCATGATGGGCGAGAAAGTATTTGTTCGTCAGTTTACGTGGGAACGTCGTGTCGCAGTCTGGGTGTGGCTTCGTGATCGGGGGTCGCGATTCCCGCTGAGGCACGGCATGGCGAGGCTTTATACCCGACGTAACTTGTCCCCGGCGCAGGGATAGGGATAGATCGAACAGGCAGAAACCAAGGGGGGGCGCTAAAGAACGAGAGTAAGAGGGAGATGGAGAACCCCAAGTTGTTTTGTGGTAGATGTGGTCGTCGTCTATAGAGAATAAGCTTCGACCCTGTGTGATCTAAGGTATAGTAGTTGGAGTGGTGGGGGAATTCAGTTCGACAGAACTCGCCAACGATGCGGCCGAAGGACGAGAAAGGTAATAAGGTACCTGGTAAGGTACCTAAAGTTGGAATATACTTCTTAGGTACTTGTAACGATGGAAAATCATTCTTACGGTGATTCTGATTGGTCAGATTAATCCCTACTAGGCTAGGCTACAACCCGGTGAAACAACACGGGATTAGATAAGGTTTTTTAGGCAGATGTACGATTACCTTATATAAGACGTTGTCGCTATCTAACGCCGCAACGGTCACAAAAGCCACTGCCAGCACTACCCCTTACTTATAGGCGCGCAGTCTTGACCTCTTACCCTGGACTAAGAGGCCTGGAACAGCTAGTTACTCTGTTTCTGCTAGAAAACAAGGAACTATCTCTAACTCCCAGGGGAAATAGTCGGCATCTTCGGAAATAAAGTACACCATAGTCCCAGTCAATGGTCGACCCCGATGAGACGGCGGAATTTTTTTTTTTTCCAATACGCGCATGCAGCCCTAAAGCTATGGCGCGAGTCTATAAGGAGACTAATCCTATAACGAGTTAACTAGTATGTTTACATAAACCTGTTAATAGTGAAGTGAAATCCTTATAGTAGCTAGAGCTGTGGCAGTCCAGTTATATCATTCCGGGAAGTGTCTTGTCAGTTGCGCGCTCCTTGAAGTGCAGACGGCGGATATCTTATAAGTGAAGACTTGTTCTACTGAGTATCCGTAGTCGAATCTAGGCACATGTCTGGCAAAGGTACAATTTATTGCTTTAAAAGCGGGTATCTTAGGTAGTGATAATAGGTAGTGATGAAATTAGACAAGCCCCCCTTCGACCCCTAATGGTCAACTCCCATATCCAAGACCCTTACCAGTCCCGACGCCATGGCGATGCCAGCCCAGCAAGCAAAATCAATATTCGGGTTCCACGCCATGGCTGTGGTCCTGGAAAGCGGCTCTCGCAGGATAATCTTGGTCGGATCAGAATACAGCCCAAATTCCCCGTCCCCCTCTCCGTCCCCGTCCCCGGCTGCATTTCCCTCCATATCGCCTCCCGCCTCGCCCCCATCCACTGTCGGCTTACGCCGCACCCTCTTCCGTGTACTCTTGGTCTTCTTATGCGCCTGGCCCATGTGAATCAGCGCCCTATGTCCGTGATTTAGGATGGCCCCGAAGCCCTGCAGGATGCGCGAGACGCCGCGGAAGGGTAGCTCGCGGGCGGCAGCGGCAGCAGAAGTAGCCCCGGTGTCGCCATTCTTCTCAGCGAGAACCGGGGTCGGGTTGTGCAGGCGCGCAGCGGGAACGTGCTCGTGCTCCAGAATCTTCACCTTCTGACCCGGCGGGTAATGGCGCGGCGCAAAGATGCGGTTCATCGGGTTGCACGCCCACACGGAACCGTCGAGCAGGGCGACCAGGAGAAAAGGGTGGTGGCAACCGACGGCCAGGGCGGTCGGGGCGGCGTCGCCGTCCATGACCTTGCGCATGGTGGCGGCGAAGGTGCGCGAGTGGACGAAGGAGACGGTGGTGTTGAGGGGGCTCGTGGAGGCGGTGAGGGAGAAGAAGCCCTGGAGGTGGTCGCTCCACTGCAGGAGGTTCGACTGCGTCACCGTCGACGGGTTGGTCTGGCAGCTCGATTCGCTGCCCGGGTCGAGGAGGTCGAGCAGGGTCATGAAGCCGCTCACGGCGGCCGAGGCCACAACGTGCGGGTGCGACGGGTAGGCGGACGCGATGTTGATCACGTGGGTGCTGTGGACGGGTTGGCGGGCGAGGCAGCATCGCGGGGCGAGGGACCAGAGGGCTACGCTGCCGTCGCTGTGCCCTGTGACGATGCGATTGATGCCGGCCCAGGAGAAACATGTCACCTCGACTGAGGTTTTCTCGTCTTCGTAGCCCAAGGAGACTAGCGGCTTGTCGATTTTTTCTACTAGTTTTGAGCATGATGGTTTTGGTATGTTTTATGACGTGATGAGATGAGGATGAGGAGTCATACCATAAGCAGACAGTTCGTCTTCTCCCGGCTCTTCGACGGACAAGACGTGCACTTGGCCGTCTCCAGACAACACGGCCAAAACACCGAGATGATGATCCACCACGGAAGGTACGGGACACCACTCGACTTTCTTCACCCTGCCCCAGTCAAAGCACAGAGTCTGGACGAGGCGTGGCGGTTCTTTCGACGGATACATGACCCCGTTGTCTCCTTGGAACCCCTGAAATTCCCATAGTTGAACGATGCCGCGTTTCTGTTCCTCGTTCGACGGAGTGTGGGCGGCGGCCTCCCGCGCGTCGACATCCTGATCAGTGTGCGGAATCGCCGCCAAGGCGAGAATCTGAGTGATGGATTTCGCCCGCGGAGCCCACGCCATGAATGTAACGATGCCTCCGACGTCGAACATCCAACCGGCTGGTTGTCCTCCGGATCGGTTCGCACCACCATTGGCATCACTGCTGGCATCACCGCTGGCGCCAAAGGGCAGACCGTCATGACCCAGTGTGATGCTCTGATGGTAGCTAAACGTAAACTCTCTCTGAGAAGCATGAGAGGTGTGCGGTCCCATGAGAACCCTCAGCTCCGCAACCGGGCGAACAAGATACGGGCTCGCTTCGTCCGCGCTCAACCCCCGGGCCGTCTGACCTTTACCCTCGCGGCGCAGATGGTCCCAAAAGCGGCAAAACCAATCCCTCTGCGCCAGGGCCTGGGTCCATTCAAAGTCGTCGGCCACCCACGGGGTCGGCTGGGGGCATTTATCCTGGTCGAGGAGCTTGGAAGGCAGCACCTCGTAGTGGCGCCAGCGACTGACCATGGCCTCGGCGGCGGCCACGGCGCCCTTGTCGGGGCCGTAGAAATCTTCGCAGAAGCAGATGCGGATCCAACCCCCCAGGACGCCGTGGTACCACCGGGTTTGCGTCAGCCGGGCGGAATGGGGGTACTGGGCCAGGGCATTGGCGTCGTTGCCGGGAGACTGCCCGGACTGCTGTGCCTGTGGCTGCTTGGGAAGTTGTCTCTTTGCCTGCCTGCCCGCGGTCTTTCGCTTGCCTTTTCTCCGGGGATAGGAGTCGTATTCTGCGTCGGAGTTGACTTCTTCCGGTTTGATCGGGTCGTCATCGTCGTTTTCCTCTTCGGCGTCGGAGTCTGGGGGGATGAAGTTGTCATCGTCACTGTCTTCCCCGCCAGATGCCTGGTATTGCACACTTTCTTGGTCATCAAGGTCCATAACAACCTGGTTATGAGAGAAGCCAAGCTAAGCGGAGGGAAGCGATACCCTGGTGGAAGGGTTGTAGTTATGTGTTGAAGTCGGAAGATGTTGTAAGAAGCTGAAGGTGATTCAGCGATGTTGAGATACGGGTCCGAAAGATGTACCTTCATTGTATCTTAACCGTACCGGCATGCCCTATCGCGTCTCATAAAGTACAACAAGATCTTTATGGATACTTTCCCAGTATTCGGTGGACTGAGGAGACAGCTTAGTCATACCGACAGTACAGTACGTGGGCTGCCATTGAGACATAGATACGTCGACCCCCCCCTTGTATTCAACCGTCAGTGATTACTACGGCAAGCGGCATGACGGTCTGTTTCAACTTCCAAAAATCCTAAAAAAATTCATACACAGACGCCCGTATAGGGGTGTATAGACTCGTATATAGTGGTACGCTAGTAGCAGGTAGAGCACCTTAGTAGTATAGCCCTAGGCTAGCTAACTAATCAGAAACCTAGAATTTTGTTTTCGTGCCCCTATACTACTATAACGCTATGCCTATACTAATCTTATTTTCCTCTCTAGATAACTAATAACGAGTCAGGTAAGTAAACCCACCTATACCTCTATACAGAGCTATAGCATTAAATCAGATATCGGGATTCGATTCTATAGGGTTAGATCTACTAGTATCCTTATCTTTAAAGCTATTTTACTAGTTATGGTTATATACATTCTTACTAGGCAGTTAGCTAATATAGCGATATAACGTATAGGTGTTTATAGATCTATATAAATAAATATAGCGGTTATAGATCTATATATATAAATATAAAGATAATTCGTAAGATAGCCGCTAATACCTGTCGGGTATAGTGGCCGAATATAATTAGCGGCGATAAACTCCCTCCCGCGCCTATAGTATAGCCCTCCGGTATAGAGGGTAAAGAACTAACTGTATATATACTAGACTATACGTATCTATGTATTATAGTATTAGAACTAGGCTAATATATTAATAGTAATTAAGAATAAATACTTAAAAGATATTACTAGGTATAGAGTAAAGAAGATACCGTAGGTACTATACTATATACCCCTATACAGCATTATATACTTATATATAAAATAGATCCGGCGCGGTATCGTTCTCTAGCTCAAATACGAAAAGGCGGGTGAAATAAAATTACCCGATTTCGATATAAAACGCCCGTAGGCTATCACGGGGTTTTTTATTTAACTATTTAGCTAGGAGCAGTTTAACGATACCCGCTACGAAAAATACCAGGATAAGCGCGGTAACTTAGAGGGCTATATTACTTTAGACGGCTTCGGGAACGGAGCGTGCGGTAATTACTATAGCGGCTCGGAAGGAGCTAAGTATTCGCTATACTATAAGATACCTTATAGCTCCCTATAACTCTGCATAGAACTATACTAATTAGATTTATAGTCGCGAAAAATAAGAAGCGCCGCGCCTCTACTATATAGGATACCGACGATACCGATAGCCCAGATATATCGCCCTACAGCCTTCGCGAGATAGCGCGATAGCTTAAGAATAAGGCCGATCGTAGTAAATTACTATTCCTACTCGTATAAAGCTTTATAGACATATACTAACCTATACGTTAAGAGAAAAATAAGTAATCTTTTTTAGTTTTTTTTTTTTAAAAAAAAACTCCCTTTTCTTTAGCTTTTATATGGTAAATAATAATACCTATTTTACTTTTTAAAGATAAGCTTTAATAATATAAAATTATATAAATATATATATATATATATATAAGGTAAATAGTATAATACCTTATTTCTTATATTATATTATTTATTATATATTTAAATAAGAATAATATTATTATGATTATTATTATTATTTATCTCTTAATTTATTGTTATATAACTTATAGTATTACTTATTACTAGTACTATCAATAGCCTTACTAGTATTAGATATTAAATAAGTTATATTATAAAAGATAGTTAGAGCTACTAATATTATAAGTAATATAGTTAACTAATTATTACTTATTATACTACACTATCTAGGAGGCTTTTTCTTAGTAAAAAGGTAATATATATAAATATATATAAATATATAAATCTTAATTATATAATATAATATACTTATAAGATAATAAAATAACTTTACTTTAAATAGAATTAATTAATTTTACTAAGACTCTAAAGAGTATAAAACTATAAAACTAAGGCTATATAGCTTTTATATTTTATACTACTATAAAAAGCGTCTTACTCTTACTATACTCGTCTTAAATGATAAACTATATCCTTTATTACTTAAAGAGGTTTACTTCTATTAGGCTAGCTATTAGTCTAATTTATATAAATAATAGGTATAATAGGGTTATTAGCCTCTCTTAGTACTATTTAGATTAAGTACTATTATATCAAATATAGGTTTAGGCCTAGGAAATATCCTTAATATATATAGAATAAAGCTATTAATATAATATACTTAAATATCTTAGTTTTACTAGTCTTATTACTATTCGATTATTTAAATCGAATTAAGGGTATATAATTAACTTATTATTAGTTTCCACGCCGTGAAATTAACTAATTAGTAATTAATTAATTAAATTAATATAGCTATCCCTGTTAGTAAATATCTAAGAGTAAGGCTATTCACAGATCATATATTACCTATTAGATTATAATACTCTTATTTATACTACTCTTACTCTTAAACTGCTTATAGTAACTAGACCTTAATAGAGCTAGATCTTTAGGCTCTTAATAGCTTTAAGCATTATTAGTAATATTCTTTATCGCTAGCTTATTAAAGCTATCTTTACTAGGCTAAACGTTATTTTATAGTCTATTATTATCGCTAGTAGTATAAAGATATTATAAGCTAGCTAACTAAGCGATAAGAAGGTCTTTTATTAATATAACTACTACTTAATTAGGTCCTTAACGCCTTAGATATCTAGACGTAGATATCTCTTAACCTCCGAGTCTTTATTAGCCGCTAGGCACTTAGCGCTATTCTAAATCTATTATATATAGTAGCTATTATCTTCCAGCGTTACTATCGCTACCTAAACTAGTATAGTTATTATTACCCTGCTTTATAGGTTACTAGTAGCAATACTACTTCTTTTAGTACTTAGTAAGCTTATTTCTAGTATTACTAACTAAGGTACTTAGTATTATATAGTCTAATACTCTTCTACTAAGTAAGCCTAAGCCTCGGGTATAGTATTATAGCCGTAGTATAGAGAAATAAGGCTTTTAGATTAGTATATCAATTATTAGCTTTTACTATATAGTTATTATAAACAGTCTAAAATAGACCCTTAAACTAGTTACCAAAGTCTAGTAGCTATTCTATATATAACCTCCCTAGATAGATATTAATTAAGAGGCTTAGGAGACTTAAAAGGCCTAGCTCTTCGAGATAGTAATTATCTTAGAAGGTTATTAAATATTTATAGACTATTAGAATTAATAGAGCCTATAGCCTTACTAGAATCGTTGGATAGGAGTATAGAATACCTATTATAGAGGTAGTCTTATAGATAAGGCCTTAAATAGCCTTACTAAACTACCTCGTTAATTATAATAATAGTAAACCTATAAGTAGTTCTTATACGAAGTATTATAATAAACCTTATTAACGAATATTCTATAGTTCTTAATCTAGTAAGTTCTTTCTTTAGATCTCTTTATATAAACTTAATCGGTATAAGTAAATTCTCTATTATTCTATATTATAATAGGCGGGGTATTAGATCTATATTCATTAAACTATAACTTAAGAGGTATTGAGGGGCGGGATTTAAATACCGTGAGGCTAATAATAGATAATTAAGGTAGCAGAAAAGGGTAGTAAACTATATATTAAGAAGGATAGTAAATACTTTAGATTAATATAGGAGGCAGATACTATAATTTAAATAATTTCCTACTACTATTATTAGCTCCTAGATAGAAACTATTATACTAATCACTATAGTAGGCATTATAGAGGTATACAGGAATAAGATATATATTATAAAATTATAAGCTATAGGCTATATATTATAATAGTATACTACTAACTATTATAGTTAGAGGTTATACGTTCGGTTCCCGTTATAGGCGTTAGTTAGTAGTTTATACTTTTCTTTAAAAATATAGCTATAGTTTTTTTTCTATTTTTCCTAAAATTCTATTAGTCTAGAACCAGACTAATATTACGCTAATTAATATTATAGAATTAACTAATTCACTAAATCTGGATATATAATTTAACTATTTAAATTAATTTAATAGTAACGCTAATTACTAGTTATTAATACTATATTATTCTAATAAGCTTTAACTAGAAATATAAAGTAGATACTTACTTATAACCTTATAGTTTAATATACTAAGGTCCTTAAAAATATAATACTCTAATTATTTAAGTCTACCTTTAGTACTTTATTACTTATAAGAGTCTTATTATAAATAGTCTTTTAGATATACTATATATTAA